ATTCTGAGTAAGGTTTAGTACCAGACCTCAGAATCTCTGCCAGGGATTTCCCCTTTTGGGATTCAATTATAGAGTGTCAGATGTCTCTAACTTTAGGTGGGAACTGGTGTCACTTTATGTTTTCCTTCCAGAGACAATGGCCTACTATGAGATTTATAAGACCACACTTTCCTGAGCTAACCATCCCACTAGAGTGATAGCCATGAGCTAAAAGGCATTGTAGCTTTATTATTTTCAAAATATTTTATCTTAAGTGCTTGAGCCCCAAAAAATTCAGACCAGCCAGGTAAACATATAAAGAACTACTCTCTACAAAATATTTTTAAAAATAGCCAGGTGTGGCTGGGATTGTGGTCCCAGAAACTTGGAAGATTGATGGGACAGAACTACTTGAGCCTTGGAGTTTCATTCAGGCTACAGTGATACGTAATTGTGCCATTACACTTCATCTTGGAATCTTGGATGAGCGTAATAGTCTACGTTTTCTTTTTTGAGATGGAGTTTCTTACTTGTTGCCCAGGCTGGAGTGCAATGGTGTGATCTTGGCTCACTGCAACCTCCACCTCCTGGATTCAAGCAATTCCCCTGCCTCAGCCTCCTGAGTAGCTGGGATTACAGGTTTGCACCACCACACCCAGCTAATTTTCTATTTTTAGTAGAGACCGGGTTTCTCCTTGTTGGTCAGACAGGTCTTGAACTTCCAACCTCAGGCAATCCACCCACCTCAACCTCTCAAAGTGCTGAGATTACAAGTGTGAGCCACTGCACCTGGCCTTACCCTTTCCTTTAAAAACAAAACAAAACAACAACAACAAAAACACTGCACACTTTAGGCATGTGAAGTATATTCACATAGTTATCCAAAACACTTCCAGAAATTTTACATTTGTAAAACTAAAACTCAACATGTGTAACAACTGAAACAACTGCCCATTTTTACCCTCTCTTCAGCCCTTGAGAAACCTTCTTCCCCTTTGTGTTTTTATAAATGTGACTGCTTGACATATCTCATATAAATGATATCATCTAGTATTCAATGTTTTGTTACTGGCTTAGTTTAGGTAATATTATCAAGATTTATCTTAATATCTAAGACTTTTAAGTGTGACAAGATTTGTTTTAAGGCTAAATAATATTCCACCGTACATATATGTTACATTTTTTGGTGTGCATATAAATCAAAAAATAACTGAGTTTCTACCTTTTGGCTTTTGTCAATAGTGGCACAATAAATACAGGCAGTTAAATATATGTTCCAGGTCCCAAGTTGCATACTTTGGATATAGATTCATAATTGACATTGCTGTATTTGATGATACTTTCATGTTTAATTATTTGAGAAACATTCATAACATTTTTAAATGATGACTGTATTTTTGTCTTCCAACAGTCAACATGTGTTTTATTTATATTGCATCAATGAATTTTCTGCTTTTAAAAATTTATTATGGCCATTCTAATTGGTGTGAGGTGATTTTGGTTTTCATTATCATTATACATTTCTCTACCAATTAGTAATTTTTTATATTCTTTCAAATGCTTCTTTCTAATGTTTCATTTAATTGTGTCCATTTCTAAATCAAATTATTCAACTCTCTTTTTAAATTTTAAGAGTTGTTTATATATTATGAATATTAACTTGGATCACATGTGATTTGTAAATATTTTCAGTCATTTTCTAAAAGGCATTGTCACTCTATTGAGTGTTTTCTTTGATGTACAGAAATACTGAATTATAGTGTAATTAAATGTTTCTGTTCTTTCCTTTGTTGCTCCTGCATTTAATGTTATATCTAAGAAAATGGTGCCAAGACCAATGTCATGTCTTTCCCTTATTTTGTTTCTAAGAGATTTGTTATTTTATTGTCTGAGTATTTTATTTAAATTATTTTTTTGTATACAACTCGAGAATTATCCAACTTTATTTTATCAGTGTAAATTTTTAGTTTTCAATATTCACTGCTGTTTGTGCAGAGAGAAAGGATGGCAAGATTCAGATATATGTTACTAGACAGAGGTCCTAGGAAGTATGAAAGGACACTAACAAAAAGTGGGCTTAGGAATGTTAAGAATGCATCAAGAAGAGGAATGTTGTAGTGTCCCTGCAGTTTCTGCATGTCTAGAGGATGAGATCCTTCTGAGAATGCTAGAATAAGGAATTATGACACCAAGCCACTTCAGCCATAAACCTTATTCTTGCACTTTTTTTTTTCTTGGTGTTAATTTTATATAGCAGACCAAGAAACCTACTCTCTGCTAGTATAGACTATACACCAACAATTTTGATGAGTTCTAGGATGTATTTTTCTTGTATCTTTTTCTTCCTACTATGTTGCTAATTTATAAGGGATCTGTGTAGTTTGAATGTATTTGAATAACTTCAGCTCTACTGTTTAATTTGACCCAACAGATATAAGTATTCCCAACAGAATCCAACAGATACAAGTATTCCCATGTGTTTTAGAAGCCCAAATTCAGTGAAGTGAAAGTTACTTGTGGATAAAGAATGCATTAGCTAGTTTAGCTAGAGCATGATAATTAGATTTTCTGGCTTTCAAAATTTTAGGTTACAATAAGAGCAAACTTTATGCTATTTTTATAGTTTTTCAGTACAAAAAGTTGTTTATATGGCAACAATAAAGTTGACATTTTATTACCTTTGTAAAAAAAAGATACAACAATATACTTTAAAATTCTAAAAAATAGCTTCAGTTGCAAGGAAGTATTCTCTATTACATTTACTCTCATTTGTCATTTATGTTACTAATTATATTTCTATGTTTTACATTTATTAACATGTTTATAAATATTTCTAGGCTTTTATAAGTCTTAAAAAATAATTTTAAAATTTTTTCATGATTATAATGCTAAAGAATTCAATTTCTTTGTATGTGCATGTCTTTCTGAGAACAATATATTTTCCAATAATTAGGTGCTGTTTTTTTGAATCATGTTATTTTCAGTGAAAACAACTCATTTTATCATTTTTTGCTATGTAGCCAACATGCAGTGCCAATATACTTTCTCAGAAGTTAGTTATTTTGGAAGGTTTCTTTTTAGTTTTTTTGGTATTTGGTAGAACAGTTTTGCTGTTGATATTATTCTCACTTAATAGATTTTTTTTTTTTTCAGGACTTTGACTATAGCAGTTTTCTTCTGGCCTGCACATTTTTTATTGGCAAATTCACTGGTTATCTTTAAAGACTATGCTTGTAAATGACACATCACTTTTCTCTTGGGGCACCCAAGATTTTCTTTTCATCTGTGACTTTTAAAATTGTGTTTGTATGTGTGTTTGTTATAAATATCTTTGTGTGTATCCTAGTTTATTTGTTGAGCTTCTTTTTTCATTGTTTGCTCTTCTAGAATTTTTTTACTTTTTATATTTTTTGCCTTTATAATTTTTTGATATTTTTAATATTTTTGTGCTTATTCTAGTTTTATAATTTCTTTATGGTTATCTGTGTTTCTCTTTCACTTGCTGAGTATTATTTAATTTATTTAAATTTTTAAAAATCTATACATCTTCATTTTCTATAGTTGCTTTCTGAACAGTTTATAATTTTTATATGGGGTTATTTTGCTGTAACATTTTCTATGCATTGTAATTTTTGATTGAGATTTGAACATTTAAAAAAAAATCTACCTGTCACAGTCTTTATAATGTAGCTTTTTTTCTGACATACATTAAAACCGATTGTTTTAGCTAGAGATTCTGGGAGTCTCTCAGACATATTCTTATGATATATCTTCTCTGAAATTTTTTTGTTTATTTTTAGTTAAAGAGATTTCTTAGTGTTTCTGTTTAACGGCCAGTCCTAATTTGCTACATGTTTTCTCTCTGTAGTACTGCAGTCTCTCTACTTCTGTAGCATTTACCTTTGGTTTTAGTGACTCAAACTGTCATTCCAAAGAATACTACTGCAGTAGTCTGCTTTCATATTGCTAATAAAGATATATCCAAGACTGGGTAATTTATAAAGAAAAAAAAGTTCCATAGACTCACTATTTCACATGGCTGTGGAGGGTTTATAATCATGGCAGAAAACAAAAGAAAAGCAAAGTGACATCTTACATGGTGGCAGTCAGAGAGGGAGTATGGGAAAAAGAACTCTGCTTTATAAAAACTATCTGATTTTTTTTTTTTTTTTGGTGCACCATTCCTGGAAGTACTGCAATACCAGGTCGATGCGTGGAGTGGACGGAGCAAGCTCCTATTCCATCTCCCTGCTCCAAAAATCCATTTAATATATTGTCCTCGGATAGAGGACGTATCCGATATTAAACTGATAAGAACAGATACTACACTTGATCTTAGCCAAAAGGCCGAGAACCAATGATGATGATGTTACTATCACAAGAAAAACCTAGAAAATATACAGCCCCAGAATTCAATTACCTCCTACCAGGTTTCTTTCACAACTCATGAGAATTATGGGAGCAAAAATTCAAAATGAGGTTTAAGTGGAAACACTGAACCAAACCATATTAGCCACCACTATTTTTTTTTTAGTATTTAATGCCGTGGAAGACAGAAACCAGTGTGTGAAAAGACTCTTAGAAGCCAGAAATAGAAACACTATTTTTCTAGGGATAATGTTATTTATTTATTTGTTTGTTTGTTTATCTTTGTTATAAAAAAGTTGACGGGTTACTTCTAAAGACATTACATTACATTTGGGGAGCAGGAAGAGCTCTGTTGGGTCTGTGTTGGGTAAATGTAACAGACATTTTGTTCTATGTGATTCTTTGCATTGTGCTCACCTGGGGTACTGAACACAAGTAACTTACTTACAAATCTTCCACAAATGTGTTTTGGTCAGTATCTTTTTGTTGGATTTATATGTCTGAAGAAAGTTGGGTCTGTGGTACTTTCCTATGCCATCTTGCTTATGCAGTTTGTATAATTTCATAGGTTAGCTATATAGAGTAAACAAATCTTGGTCTAGCAAGTGGAGTAATTTGTTTTTGTTTTTGTTTTTGTTTTTGTTTTTTTTCAGTTATATGTTCTTATTTTGCTCAAGACCTATTGCCAGAGCAGGACACAAAAAATGTATTTCCAAGAGTGATACTGAGAAGATATGGAAACTGTGGAGATGAACATGTACCACTAAGAAAAGTCTGTGAAAGTGTGGATGGTTGTAAAATGCACAAAAGAGTTTATGGTAAACTTAAGAAATGTTTGATGGCTACACAGAGCAAGACATATTTATATTATAAATATATAAAGATCTTCTATACATTTTTATATTCAAATAGATATAAGATAAGACTTGCTAAAAAGAAGACTTATAAATGTAAAGAATGTGGCAAAGCTTTTAACCGGTTATCAATCCTTAGTACACATGAGAAAATTCATAGTAGAGAGAACCCCTACAAATGTAAAGAATGTAGTAAAGCTTTTAACTGTTCCTCAGACCTTACTAAACATAAGATAATTCATACTGGAAAGAAACCTGAAAAAAATAAAGAATGTGGCAGAGTTTTTAACTGTTCCTGTTACCTTACTAAATATAAGAGAAATCGTACTGGAGAGAAACCCTACAAATGTAAAGAATGTGGCAAAGCTTTTAAGCGGTTGTCAATCCTTAATACACATGAGAAAATTCATACTGGAGAGAAACCCTACGAGTGTAAAGAATATGCCAAAGCTTTTAAGTGTTCCTCAGACCTTACTAAACATAAGTTAATTCATACAGGAAACAAACCCTACAAATGTAAAGTATGTGACAAAACTTTTAACCGGTTATCAATTCTTACTACACATGAGAGAATTCACAGTGGAGAGAAACCCTACAAATGTGAAGAATGTGGCAAAGCTTTTAACCGGTTATCAATCCTTACTACACATGAGAAAATTCATAGTGGAGAGAAACCCTACAAATGTAAAGAATGTGGCAAAGCTTTTAACTGTTCCTCAGACCTTACTAAACATAAGATAATTCATACTGGAAAGAAGCCCTACAAATGTAAAGAGTGTTGCAAAGCTTTTAACCGGTTATCAATCCTTACTACACATGAGAGAATACATAGTGGAGAGAAACCCTACAAATGTGAAGAATGTGGAAAAGCTTTTAACTGTTCTTCACACCTTACTAAACATAAGAGAATTCATAGTGGAGAGAAATCCTACAAATGTAATAAATGTGGCAGAGCTTGTAAGTGGTTATCAATCCTTACTATACATGAGAGAATTCATAGTGGAGAGAAACCCTACAAATGTAAAGAATGTGGCAAAGCTTTTAGCTGTTCCTCACACCTTAGTAGACATAAGAGAATTCATTCTGGAAAGAAGCCTTATAAATGTGAAGAATGTGGCAAAGCTTTTAAGTGGTTATCAGCCCTTACTACACATGAGAGAATTCATACTGGAGAGAAACCCTACGAGTGTAAAGAATGTGGCAAAGCTTTTAACTGTTCCTCACACCTTAGTAGACATAAGAGAATTCATTCTGGCAAGAAACCTTACAAATGTAAAAAATGTGGCAAAGCTTTTAGGTGGTTATCAACCCTCACTACACATGAGAGAATTCATACTGGAGAGAAACCCTACAAATGTAAAGAATGTGCCAAAGCTTTTATCTGTTCCTCACACCTTAGTAAACATAAGAGAGTCCATACTGGAGAGAAGCCCTACAAATGTAAGGAATGTACCAAAGCTTTTATCTGTTCCTCAGACCTTACTAGACATAAGGTAATTCATACTGGAAAGAAACCCTACAAATGTAAAGAATGTGGCAAAGCTTTTAACCGGTTATCAATCCTTACTACACATGAGAGAATACATAGCGGAGAGAAACCCTACAAATGTAAAGAATGTGGCAAAGCTTTTAACTGTTCCTCACACGTTAGTAGACATAGGAGAATTCATAGTGGAGAGAAGTCCTATAAATGTGATGAATGTGGCAAGGCTTTTAAGTGGTTATCAATCCTTACTACGCATAAGAGCATTCATAGTGGAGAGAAACCCTACAAATGTAAAGAATGTGGCAAAGCTTTTAAGTGTTCCTCACAACTTAGTAAACATAAGATAATTCATACTGAAAAGAAACCCTACAAATGTAAAGAATGTGGCAAAGCTTTTAAGTGGTTATCAATCCTTACTACACATAAGAGAATTCATAGTGGAGAGAAACCCTACAAATGTAAAGAATGTGGCAAAGCTTTTAAGTGTTCCTCACAACTTAGTAAACATAAGATAATTCATACTGAAAAGAAACCCTACAAATGTAAAGAATGTGGCAAAGCTTTTAAGTGGTTATCAATCCTTACTATACATGAGAAAATTCATAGTGGAGAGAAACCGTACAAATGTAAAGAATGTGGCAAAGCTTTTAATTGTTCTTCATACCTCAGTAAACATAATATAATTCATAGTGGAGAGAAACCCTACAAATGTAAAGAATGTGGCAGAGCTTTTAACTGCTCCTCAGACCTTACTAAACATAAGATAATTCATACTGGAGAGAAACCCTACAAATGTAAAGAATGTGGCAAAGCTTTTAACCGGTTATCAATCCTTACTACACATGAGAGAATTCACAGTGGGGAGAAACCCTACAAATGTATAGAATGTGCCAAAGCTTTTAACTGTTCCTCAGACCTCACTAAACATAAGATAATTCATACTGGAGAGAAACCCTATGCATGTAAAGAATGTGGCAAAGCTTTTAACCGGTCATCAATCCTTACTGCTCATGAGAGAATACATAGCGGAGAGAGACCCTACAAATGTAAAGAATGTGGCAAAGCTTTTAACTGGTCCTCACACCTTACTAGACATAAGATAATTCATACTGGAAAAAAACCCTACAAATGTAAAGAGTGTTACAAAGCTTTTAACCGGTTATCGATCCTTACTACTCATGAGAGAATACATAGTGGAGAGAAACCCTACAAATGTTAAGAATGTGGCAGAGCTTTTAACTGGTCCTCACACCTTACTACACTTAGGAGAATTCATAGTGGAGGGAAAGTCTTCAAATACGAAGAATGTGGCAAAGCTTTAACCAGCCATCAAGCCAAGATAATTTATACTTCAGAGAAGCTTAATAAATATGAAGAATGTGGAAAAGCTTTTAACCATTTCTCTAATCTTAACCATTCATAATGGAGAGAAGTACTGCAAATGTGAACAGTGTGACAAAGGCTTTGGTGTATTCTTAACCTTTAGTAAACATAAGAATTCATGCTGATGAGAAACCCTGTACAAATATGAAGAATGTGGCAAAGGCTTTTGTGAATCAGCACTAAGTAAACAAAATATTTCATACTGAAGCACGTGGAAAAGCTTTTTACCAGTTCTCATCCCTTACTAAACATAAGCAACTTCATACTGGAGAGAATTTTGACACTTGTGAAGAATGTGGCAGACTTTAAACTAGTTCTTAAACCCTACGGAACCTAAAATAATACACAATGGATGGAAACTACTAATTTCAAGAATGTAACAAAGCCCTTAGTATATATTGTTAACCATTTCTAAACATAAGGTATTTCATACTAGAGAGAATTCCAACAAATGTGAAAAATGTGACAACGACTTTAACTAAAGTTCTCAATATTTACTACACACAGTTCATACTGGAGAGAAACCGTACTAGCATAAAGAATGTATCAAAGCCTTTACAAGTCCTCAATTCTCAGGAAACATAAGACAATTTATATTGAAGAGAAACTCTACAAACCTGAAAGATGAGACAATCTTATTCACAACACCTCAAACTTAAAATAGATATAGTGATCCTAGACCCCAGAAATGTTAAGAATGTGTCAAAGCCTTTAAGTAGTTGTCACTCTTGATTGCTAGTAAGGTAATTGACACTCTAAAAAACTACATGTTTGAAAAATGTGACAAAACTTTCAGCTAGTACTCACATTTTGTTGCACAAGAAAGCATTTATACTCGAGGAAGATTCCACAGATATAACAATTGGAAAAGCTGTTGATACCTGCTCATATCTTACTCAACATCCAAGAGTTAATAAAAACATTGTAAGTGCAATTATTGTCAAAATAGCTTTCAGAAAATATAAGTCATTAAAGTGAAGAAGAGCATTCATTCTTAAGAGGAACATTAAAAATATAAACAGGCTCATAGTACCATTACTTGTTTCATAGATGTCATTGTGCAGAGTTTGTATTAGAAAAAAAACCTGAAGGAATTTCTCAAAACTTGTTCAACATCAGGGAATTTATATTACATTGGAAAAAACCCTAATCCATGTAATGAGTTTATCTAAAGAATTGTTCAAAAATGACAGCTAAGAAAACACCAGAAAGCTCATAGTAAAATATATGTTTACAGATGCAGTAACTATGAAAACAACGTTTACTTCAAAATTAAGTCTGTGTCAACATCAGTAATTCACAGTAGAAATAACTAAGGCTGACCCTCCAGGCATTACACTAAATCGGAGTGTTGTATATAGAACATCATCCAAAACTAAAGTTGTTAGATAAATTATTGCTCTGTAACTTTAACAAAAGAAAATTTGAATGTTATTATTGCATTCAATTATAACATTTGATAAAAGCCTTACAGATTAATTTTTGGAAAGTAAATAATGATATAATTCAACTCACAATTTATGCTGTATCTTTTATTTTTATGGTCATAATAAAACTATATAAAAGTATAAATAAAATACATTTCTATGTCCCAAATAAGTATTTTAAAATTTTGTTACATATTTTTCTTTGAACATGTGAACTACCTACACATACAAACTTTTAGTTTTGATTCACATACAGTTAAATATACACGTTAGTCTATAATGATATTTTGTAACTGTAATAGAATTGTAGAATATGTGTGTTTGTGTGAGCATGAGTTTTACCTATTTTCAGAAAACAGAATATTGAAACAAAACATTTTCATAAGGTGACTAGTTTGCTAGAAAACTTAAAACCTCAATAATGCTAAATGCAAATCCATATCTTTACTTTTTATTTATTATTTTACAGACCCCATACTTTTCCTGTTTCTTATAATTAGTTTTTGCTTTACAGTGTAAGGAGTATTCATTGTAAGGCGATTAGTTAAGTAAGTTTCATAAGATGTTGTAGGGCACACAAAATGATTTTTAGATATAATTTCATAATTTGTGTATATATATTTTTAGTTAGGGTATTTCATTGTGTTTTATTGGAGAAACCTCTATACGCCTATTAGTTATTGTTCCTTTAACTTTTTGTAATTGATTTTTGTAAATTTATCTGTTAAGCCATTATATTCAGGGAATTACTTGGGAGGCTTCATGAGTCATGAGGATTTTAGATATTTTTAAAATTTTTTTGGTTGTGTTCTCTTCTGGTGTTTTTTTCTTTTCTTTTTTTTTTTTTTTAAGCTGGAATCTTACCTGTCACCCAGGCGGAAGGTCAGTGGCTCAGTTTTAGCTCACTGTAGCCTCCATCTCTTGAGTTCAAGCAATTCTCCCTGTCTCAGCCTCTAAATCCGCTGGGATTACAAGTGTCTGCCACAATGCTCACCTAATTTTTGTATTTTTAGTGGAGACAAGATTTTGCCACATTGGCTACGCAGGTCTTGAACTCCTTACATTATTGATCCAACCCTCAGCCTCTAAAAGTGCTGGGATTACAGGTGTGAGTCCACCATTCCTGGCAAGAATATTTTGATATGTAAATGTAGCAAGCAAACATGATAGTGCTTCTCATGTAACAGATGCTCCATAGTAAGCCATAAATATTTTTCCTGGAGTTAGTCTGCAAGTCAAGTCATATATGGAAAATGTCAATAGTGAAGAAATAATATTCATTCTTCATGTGGAGAGAACAATATTTCCAGGCTGCAAAGTGGATTCTTGCTGAATTTAAAGAGAAAGTCTGTTTCTTTTTTTTCTAATTATATTTAGTTTTGTCCTCTTATGTGTATTCCAACTATATATGCATCACAGACCTTCTTTTTCTGTGTTATGGCTACAGTGTTCTCAATTCTGATTTTATTCTATGTCATTTTACATAGTACTTTGTAGATTTTGATGAGAAAAAAATTTTTTTTTTTTCTTGAGATGAAGCATTGCTCTTGTTGCCTAGGCTAGAGTGCAAGGGTGTAATCTCAGCTCATCACAACCTCCTCCTAGGTTCTTTTCCCACCTCAGCCTCTCAAGACACTCGGATTATAAGCATCTGCCACCATGCCCAGCTAATTTTGCATTTTTAGTAGAGATGGGGTTTCTCCATGTTGGTCAGGTTGGTCTGAAACTCCCGAACTCAGGTGATCCGCCCACCTTGGTCTCCCAAAGTTCTGAGATTATAGGCATGAGCCACTGTGCCTTACCTGAAACTTAATGCAGTAAAAGTTGATTTTAACAGGAGAGTTTGCTCAGCAATATAACTTTGACATCAGATAAAGATAAAAGTCATAGCGTATTTGCGGAGAGTGGGAGAATTAAATTATTTAGCTCTTTTTTAAAAGAAAAATTTTAAAAGGTTCTTACATAAAGTGTGTCAAATATAAAATATATCTTGGTGATTAAGTTTCTAACAGTTGGTGGTGATAAATTTTCCATGTTTCATGATATACTTACAGCACAACTTATGTTTCCATGCAGAATTTCTAAGTGTGAATGTTAGAGGTTGCCAAATAATGAAATTACCTCTGTAAATTTTAAATTTGAATATTTTTTATATTGATACTATAATTTCAAGGATTTTCTCACTGTTATTTTATATGACTTTTTTTGTCAGGGGTGAAGTTCAGCATACAGTTTTTATACTTAGTCACCTATCTGTAGCCAATCCTTGGTTATTTTCTTTGGAAAATATGTGAAGATTATGCCAGTTTTTGAATTAAAATATTTTCTGTTATTTTACATGCAAATTTGTTTACTGTGTTCACAGAGTGGCCAGTCATGGGACCATCAGCAGTCATGGGACCGCCTGCCCTTTTATTGTCTTTCATATCATTAGCATTAGCACCAGAAACTGTGGGTGCCCCAAACTTGAAGTAAAAGCCCTAAAGTAAATTGGCTTCTTTCAGGCACTGTGCAGGGTCCATGGCATGATGTTCAAGTATCAAAGTTTCTATGGTTATAATTTACAAATGACAAAGCACAAAGCTATATGTGATTAATATTATTCAGTCAAGTTTATGACAAATACAGATCATATTTGAAATATTTACTTTCTATAAAGTTTGAAACATATTTTTTAACTTGACAGATGAAATGGGCATTTACTTTTCAAAACATAGTGTTTTGAAGTCTACATACATTGTCCAATACTTAGCCCTGTGTAATAAATGTGTTAACTAACAGAGTTAACTTTTTTTGGTTAGACCACATGACCTTGTCTTAGCATATTTCATACATATACATTTTTTATGACCTAGAGTCATCATGCTGAACAATAAATCTCTTGAAATTGTTCTTCCTATACAACTATAATTATGTATTTGTTGACAGACATTTTCCCAACACCCCCTTTTCTTCTATTATCTTGGCACCTGGTGGTCACCATATTACTCTGTACTTCAGTGAGATTAACTTTTTAAAATATCCATTTGTAAGTGGAACCATGAGATACTAGTCTTTCTGTGACTGGCTTATTTCAACAAATAATATCATCCAGGTTAATCCATGTGATTGAAAATAACAATTTAAAAAAATAAATAAAAAATTATGTTTTGTACATATACCATATTTTATTCGTTTGTATTAGATGTTGAACTGTCGATGCCGTATTTGAGTTATTGTGAAGAGTGCTTCAAACAATGTAGAAGTGCAAGTATTTCTTCATTCTCATTTTAAATATCTGAAAGTGCAATTGCTGGATTATATGGTAGTTAAATTTTTTTCAAAAATCTATTTTGTTTTTATAATGTCTGTCCTCATTTACATTCAAACCAACAGTGTCAAGTGTTTCCTTTACATCTATACCAATGTTTTTATTTTACTAAATATCTCATAGGTATTTATTTTTGTTTTAGTATTTTTGTTTTTCTCACAGGTAAATTTTATAAATATTTCATGGATTTTTTTTGCTTGTCTTTCTCTGGCAATAATTGACATTGAGCATTTTTCAGTTTATCTCTTGGCCATGTCTTTTCTTGAAAAATATTTAAGCCTGTGCTGGGCATGGTGGCTAATGCCTACAATCCCAGCACTTTCAGAGGCTGAGGTGGGTGGATTACCTGAGGTGAGGATTTCAAGACCAGCCTGGCCAATACAACAAAACTGCATCTCTACTAAAATTAGAAAAATTAGTCATGGTGGTACATGCCTAAAAGTGTAGCTACTAGAGGAGCTGAAGCAGGAGTATCTCGCTTCAATCTGGGAGGTAGAGCTTGCAGTGAGCCGATATTGTGCTACTGCACTCAAGCCTGTGCAGCAGAGAGACCATCTCAAAAAAGAAAAAAAAAAAAAAAAAATTTAGCCTGCTGCTCATAGTTGTTTTTTGTTGTGTAGTCATTTGAGTTTCTTGCATGTTTTTTACATTATTCTCTTATCACACACATAATTTGCAAATACTTTCTCCCATTGTTTAGTTGTCTCATATGTTGATTATATCAGACTCTGTGCAGCAGATTTATACTGTAATAATCTGACTCCTCCAGTTTTCCTTGTTTCTCAGATTTTGAAGTTAAATTTAAAAATTCACTGCCCAAACCAATGTAATGAGGGTTTTAGTCTATATCTTTTGTAGTAGTTTCAGAGTTTCTAGCTTTACGTTTAAGTAACTAATTTATTTTAAATTCTGAGGTGATAATCTCATTTTATTGCTTTGCATGTGGATATAAAGTTTTCTCAACATCGTTTATTGAAGATACTGCCTTTTCTCTAAGGAACTGTCACCTTTTTAAGTATGTTACTAGTATTTTGATAGAGGTTGCCTTATATCTGTAGATTATTACATGCAATACAAATATTTATCAATATTAATGCCAATTGATTAATGAGTAATATTTCTCCATCTGTATATTATTTAATTTTTTATTTAATACTTTTTAGAGTATAATGTAAAGTGTTTCACCTTTTTGATAGACTTTATTTCAAATTATAGTTACTACAGTTATTGTGGATAAGATTGTTTTTCAATATCATTTTGAGGTAGTTGTTTGGGTATAGAAATTCTACTAATTTTAAGATGTTGCTTTTGTGTTCTACAAGCTCAATGAATTTGTTTAGTAATTCTGATAGTTTTTAGTAAAGTGTTCAACTTTTCTATACATAAGATTATGCCATCTTCCAACAGGATACTTTAATTTTTTTTATTCAATCTGAATTCCTTTGATTTTATTCTCTAAGTTCTCTGTCTTGGACATTTTGTACTATGTTTGGTAGGACTGAAGAAAGTGGATATCCTTGTTCTAGCTCATAGAGAAAAAGCTTACAGATTTTCCTGTTTAGTATGTTCTTAGGTGTGCATTTTTTTTCTGTACATGAGATTTATTGGCTTGAGATACTTTTTCTCATATCTAATGTTTTTAGATATTTATCATAAGGGGATGTTAAATTGTGTCAAACTTTTATTCTGCATCTATTTAAATTTTAGAGTTGTAAAATCATGACTAATTCTACATAAATAAAATATTTAAAGACGACTATGAACATCTCTGCATGCAAATTATAAAATATA